AGGGCTGAAAATTCTTTTTACATTTAAAAATGATAAAAATGAATTTGATTTTATGCCTGAAACATTTTCTTTTTATCTTGATCTAGAGTTTTGACATCTGACACCCTCCCCTAATTACCCACTCCTAAGATGGTTGGAAGCAGCTTGGTGAGGAATCTCACGATTTCTCATAAATATTTTCTCCCAGGTGGTTTTTCCTGATGGCTTTGATGTTCTGTTTGTAGCTCATCCATGTCTGTGTTTTGGTAGTGACTGACTTTTAGCCTCTGAGCATGATGAGATAGGAACAGACATTTGCAAAGAACATCTGACAGTTTTCTCAGCCTCCGGTATATTATTCAAAACGCATTTTGTGAAGACACCAGGAAACATGCCATCATTTGAATGCCAAATACTTTACTTTTTTTTTTCATGCAACTGAGTCCTCAGTGAGAATCAAATGACAGACAATGGTGTTTGTCTAAAACTCACAGCTAGGTCATTGTTTCTCTGGAGATTCATGCCACAGCGTCAACACTCGGTAGCTTTTAAGGAAAGCACATGGTTGTGGTGGTCGTGGTGGGACTGGCTCAGGTAGCCTAGTCTTTGACTCTGAGAAGATTCCAACTATCCTATTGGCTGGTTCAGGAAATGGAAGGAGGGCAGTTTGCCTTTGTCCTGCTAGTATAATGTAGCTCTTAGGCATTTCCCACATCAGATCATGAGCCTGATATCCAGGACCTTCCCTAAGTATCAGCTTCATTAGTAACATCTCTTTCTTGGTAAGACAAGTCATTTGTTCAAAGGGGTAGATAGATAGCAGTTAACTTAAGACTTAAATTTAGCTTTTCTTTGAGGTCCTTACCATTCCTTGCTTATGAACTATGCTTTCTTCACTCTCATTTTTTGTTGCTGTTTTTGTTTGTTGTTAATTGAATATCTTTGAGATACAACCAACTCTATTACTGTTTCCTCAACGTTTTATTCAAGCTGATCTTTTGCTTTTCATATTTTACATGTACCTTTACTCTAGAGGTCACTAAAGAAATTATTTAAGCTAAATGGCCAAGCTAATGATGATAATGATGATGATGATGATGATGATGCATATATATGTGTGTATTTAGTCACTTTTATGATAGAAATGACTCATACCAATGTTAGGACTCATCAAAACGATGACAGTGAATTAGGAATATTGTATTTAATACATAGAAGATAAAGGTCTCAACCAGAGAGATACCCTTCAACTTCTTAGATTTATAAGCAAGCACTTGCAAATAAACAGACTTTACTTTGCTAGAAACTCCAGTGGACATTCTTTGATTTGAAAAGCTCTTATTTCAACTTTAAAAAGGAAGGGAAAAAAGTTGACAAAACTCAGGCCATTTTAGAAAAGTAATATACAGAAGAAAGCATGAGATTAGTGAGTTCAAAGAGAAAGAGAGATTGATGTCAACTGAAGGCTCTGCCTGTGTGACAGAAGTTTAATATGTTGTGAGCAGCTGAAAATGCATTCATGTTTAGAAGCTGAAGAGTTGTGAGTAGAACCATTATAAATGAGAACTATCTGTGTACATATCTTGTATAAGATGTATCTTGCATTTGATTATAGGGCACACATTTCTCTTAAGTTTTAGAAATGCTCTGTTAAACCCTAGTATGATAGTTAATCTTGTGCTGCTACAATGGAATGACACAAACTAGATAATTCATAATGAACAGAGACTTTTTGACTCACTGTTCTGGTAGCTGGAAAGTCCAAGATTAAGGGGATGCGACAGTAAGAAACATCTTTCATGGATGCTCTATAACTTCTAAAGCAGAAGGCAACACCTGTGAAAGAGAGAGAACAGAAGGGAGGTATTCTATTGCATTATTTGAATGCAGTAAATTAGTGCATTAAACTTGTGAACATCCAAGTGGATGTTCACAATATGTATTGGCAACTTAAATCTCTGAGGATAGATTTGTTTACTAGGTAATGCTTAATGACTGTGTCCTCAGTATTTCTTGTGTTGTAAATTTCACCCTAAATGCAACAGGACGGAGAGGTAAGAGCTTTCAGAAGTGACCATTACTGTTGTTAGAGGGAGTGGGATCCTAATATAAGGATCAGTAGCTCCTTTCCTTTTTTATCTTTCCTTCTCTTCTCTTTTGGGATGGGATGATACAGTAAGAAGACCCCACCAGAGGAAACCTTTCCATCTTACACTTACCAGCCCAGAATCATTCCCAGTGAGATAGTTTTCTGTTCATTACAAATTACCCAGTCTGTGGAATTCCATTATAGGAACACATAATAGAGTCAGACATTTAGGTTTGACAGAACACTTCTAAAATTTATTGAAGTAACATGTACTTAATCCACAATCCAAGTGGACACATTGGGAATTTCATGGGTATTGCACTGAATTTGTAGCTCACTTTTGGAAGTATAGCAATTTTCGTGATATTAATTCTGCCAGTCCATGAACATGGGAGTTCTTCCTGCCTCTTGGTGTCCTCTTCAATTCCTTTCTTTAAAGTCTTGTAGTTTTTGTTGTAGAAGTCCTTCACTTCACTTGGTTAGGTTTTTTCCCTTGGTATTTTTTTCCTTTGGGGTTATTGCAAATGAAGTACTTTTTTTCCTACTTTCTTTCTGTATCTTGTTGCTATGCAGAAAAGCTATTGATTGACTTCTCATGTGAACCGAAGACTAGAATTGCTCAATGATGTTGCTCATGTTGCCTATCGGTATGAAATTGTAGGAACACAGTCTCTTCAGTTATGAAATATATTTTTAAATAACACTCAACTGCTTAAAAACAAATAGTTTTGGTTGGGTTCATGCAGATTGTCAATATGAAATCATTCCACATTATGGGATTGAGGAGGAAAAGAGCCAGAAAATTAATATATAATGTGATTTGTTTATATAAACATTATATTGAGGGAAAGCATCCTGTGGTACAGAAAATACTATAAACACTCCATATACCCAAAACCTTTTGTGAAAAGAATCAGCAATATATGACTAGCCTAAACTTCCACCCTATTTCTTTATCCTCTGTTGGCTTGTTTCAGACTGAGTTTATGTGGTTGTAAATACAGAAAGCATTTTTAAGGGAATTGGCATAATGACTAATCATTCACTCAAGCTGAGTATAAAAGGAAGCCAAGAATGAAGGACCTTGATAAGGAGTCAGAGAATAAAAAAGTTGTTGATGACTTTTCCAACTAAAATGGAAAAAATGAGAGATAATAAAAAGAGAGATGTTTAATTCATGACTTTAGAGGTTTGCTACTTTTTTATTTTTTGGTTTGATCAGTTGTGGGGCTTTGAACTCAGGGCCTGAACACCATCCCTAAGCTTTTTTGCTCAAGGCTAATGCTCTCCCAGTCACAGCACCATTTCCAGATTTTTCTATGACTTAATTGGAAATAAGAGTCTCAGAGAATTTCTTGACCCAGCTGGCTTCTAACCACATTCCTCATGCATCAGCTTCCTGAATAGCTAGGATTATAGGTGTGAGCCACCATCGCTCAGCTAGTTGTCAACTTTTGTAAAATCCAACAGCAACAGATAGACTCAATTACCAAACGAAGCAGCACAGTAACTTCACTCATATCTTTTCTGTGTACCTAGTTCTCTTCCTAATGAGCATCAATAAAACATATTGAATTTTTATATTAGTAAATGCATAGTGTATATAGTTCAAGCATTTCTGAAAGGCATAAATCAACATATATGTATATAGATTCTATTTTTTTATACTTGGTACTACTACTTACAAATCCCCTGTTAATAATTTTTGGTACACTAAGAAATTTTTTTTTATATTTGGAATTTTTTTTATTGTAAAGATACTATACATAGGGTTACAGTTACATGAGTGAGGTAATGAGTACACTTCCTCTTGAACATTGTTACCCCCTCCATTGTTTTTCCCCTACCATCCCTTCCCTCCCTACCTTCCCCGAGGTTCTTTTTTTTTTATTGTGATTAATACACTGAGAAATTTTAAGTAAACAGATAAGGTCACAAAAAATATAGATTCTATAAAAACAGAAATATACATAGAATAATAAAATATCTCCGATTTTCTATAATTAACATTATATTGGAAATCTTTTAATGTCTGTACAAGAGTTAATCTCCCTTTAGAAATGTCAATATAACATACCATTTGGATTTACAAATTTTCTCATTAATAAGCAGCATTGCAATAATCCTCTTGCACATTTTTTTGCATTTGTAAAGATTCATGAATTCATATGTTTAGGAAAATACTCTAGACAGTAATTTTAAGTCGAAACATATTTCATTATGTTAATAATGAGAGGTATCTCCAGATTGTTTAGTTGTGTCTTTGGAGGAGAGAGACAATATACTTCCAGCGGTAGCTTAGAAAACTTTCCAAGGAATCTCAATGTGTTTAAAATTCATGGGAAGGGAGAAAGAGAGGACATGTGGACAATTCAGGTTTTAGAATCTGTTTTGGTGGCTGTATCAACCCTGGCTGTATATGATGATCACCCAGAGGACTCAGAAATTTGTCTTAATTTCCAACAGCAGAAATTCTGACTTAATTGATCACAATATTCCAGGTTGGTTTGGGTCATTGGTGCTTTCAAAAATCAACCAGAGAGATTCCAATATTTAATCAGTGTCAAGAACCACTGTTAGAAGAGAGACTAAGAGGGGCTGGGAAGGTGGCTCAGTGGTAGAGCGCTAGCCTTGAGCTGAAGAGCTGAGGGACAGCGTCCAAGCCCAGAGTTCAGGCCCCCCACAACCGGACCCCCCCCAAAAAAGAGAGAGACTAAGAAAAGGTAGACAAAGACGGCTCAGGCGAAGAGTGTGTCAAGCATCATCAAGGCAAGCACCCATGAAACAAAAGAGAAAAGTAAAAATAAATTTTCTATTAAGAAAACCCACATCAGGTGAAAGGGTCAGATCAGATGTGAGGAAGAAAGGAGGAGAAAAGGAGAGGCCTAGCAAGGGAAGGTGAAACTGACGGGGCTAGGTCACCTTGTTCCGTTTAGTTGCTTAGCTCAGAATCTGCTCTTAGTTGAAGATGAATTTGGGACTGAAGTTTCTTCCAAGCTCTTCTTAACCCAGGGTTGCCCTGAATCAGTAGAACTGAGTGAGCAGCTGGGAAGGCAGCCAAGACAATTCTGAGCAAAATATACCAGAAAAAACTAGCGTTAAGGATATTAGATATAATAAGAAATAGAGTAAGTGCATTGAAAAAGTAGAGAATGAGAAAGTAGCTAGTTGCTTTAATGGCCCCCATGTGGGCTTCCATGCTAAGGTCTCTTGAGCCTGTTGTACTGCTTTTCATGTGCAGGATGTGTCTCTTGAGAGAGATGATCAGCATGGTGGCTGCCATGACGAAGATGATCAGAGGAATGAGGACACCCAGGAAAAGAGCCACGCTGACCACATTGGTCTTAACATAATTTAGTTCCTTCGTGTAGTTGTAGATATTGATAACATGAGAATAATTATTCAACACAGTGTAGGTGTCCTTGAAGAAAAGCATGCTGCAGCTGAAGGAGATAAGCACGGAGAGCCACAGGAGCCGGGGAATCCATCCAGAAAGTCTCCATTTCAGCTTGAGGAAAAGTGGGGAGGAGAAACTGGCAATCTTCATGAAGTAGAAGAAACTGAGACAGGCGGGAAACCAGAGGCCACAGTAATGTAAAAATACGAAACTTACTTGGAATAGCTTAGATAACTTATCTTTATAAAATGATAACGAGACCGTAAGGACTAAACTAATTTCTAGTATCATAAAGCTGTGGAGCCCTATTCTAGATACACTCAGGAAAACCAGAATCCTGCCACTGGTTGAAACTGCCTTTTTCTGAATCCATATAGCAACATGGATAGCCAAGATGAATCCATTTGCAATGACTCCCACCATGCATTCAATGATTATAATTACAAAAATTGAGATGAAGATAAATGATGGTAATTCCTTCTCTGTAGACTTGCTGAACATAGCCATGCTGAGGTTGGTGCTCTTCTTTGATGTCTGGAAGAAAATATCTCCCTAGCATTAGACAGGTGGATGAGAGCTCCCACAAGGCATGCACAGGAGGAAGTAGCGGAGGGGCCATTTACAAATTCACTCCATTTGTTTATATCACAATTCTTAGCTCTAAATCTGGAGATACAAACGATGGGAGGATCTGGTTTCCAGTCCTTTCCTTGGTTTTGAATATGTTGGTATGAATTCAGTCAAGGGACTCCAGGAACATTGCACTGATTCATCCACGCACCTCGCACTAAGAGCCATGCTCTCTGGTAACTAGTTAATATGAACTTTGCTCACTGCGGGAACTGATTGAAATCAATATTGCAAAGGTGTATGTGTGTGTGTCCATATAATGTATATATTTGTATATGTATTTCTTATTTCATGGCAGGAAGTACCTAAACAACCTGTGTATCTCATCACATTTACATATCTTGAACCTTATGAAGTGTGTATTTTTTGCTATTTCCATTTTGCAGATGGAGAAACTGAGGCATACAGAAATTTGTTTGTTTTTCGAACTTTACTACTTTGGTGGGGGGGGGAGGATTTGTGTGTGTGGGGGAGGCTGGGAAGGGATGGGAAGGGGAAACAAAGGAGGAGGCTACAATGCTTGATAAGAAATGTACTCATTATCTTGCCCATGTAATTGTAACCCCTCTGTACAGTATTTTCACACACAAAAAAAATATTTGTTTTTAAATAACGTGTTCAAAGCATTCAACTATATTCAAACCCATCACCTGGCCTTAGAGCTTGTTCTTGCTCATTGGGTCATTCTGTCCAGACTTGTGTGGATTCTTTTGTGTATGACCAAGACTACATGAAATATTGACTGACATAAGAAATGTACTCGTTATCTTGCACATGTAATTATAACTCCTCTGTACAGTATTCTCACGATTAAAAAATAAAGAAATGTTGACTGACATTTTTCATGGTAGCCTCTATAATGTCTTTAGTACTGCAGGGGCAAGGAGGCACTACATATGCAAAAGATAGGACTTTGCTGGGTGCTGATGGCTCATACCTGTAATTCTAGCTACTCAGGAGGCTGAGATCTGAGGATCACCGTTCAAAGCCAGCCCAGGCAGGAAAGTCCTTGAGACTTTTATCTCCAATAAGCCATCAGAAAACAAAAAACCTGGAAGTGACACTGTGGCTCAAATGGTAGAGTGCTAGACCTGAGCTGAAGAGCTGAGGCACAATACTCAGGCCCAGAGTTTAAGCCTCCGGACCAGCCAAAAAAAAATGACTTTATTACAAGACAAATTACTTGAGGCAACAATTTCTTTTATGCTTTCCAATTACCACAGGTAGTTTCACAAGGAGGTTTCAGTGACTTTGACATACATACATACATACATACAATGCACCCCAGTCAAACTGCACCCTGGTCAAACTCACCTTTTCCATCTCTCTTTCATCCTTCTTTCTTAAAAGAGTTTCAACAGGTTCCATGGTTTGATTTTCATCCATGCATATAAAGTACTTGGACTGTATTCAGACCTATTTTCCACATAACGACTTGTACATCTCATTGTTGCAATGGGTCCACCTGTATCCCTATTTAAACGATTTGTTTTTGCCCTTCCCTCCACAAATTATACCAACATCAAATACAGTGAAAGCAGGGGTTATACTCTCTCCACTTCTCTTCAATCTAGTATTAGAATGCTTAGCTACAGCAATAAGACAAGATGCAAACATAAAAGGGAAATAGGGAAAGATGAAGTAAAACTCTCCCTCTTTGCAGATGACATGATTATGTATTTATAGACTCCCACAGACTCCACTCCCAAATTACTCAGGCTGATTCAAAACTTGGGCAAAGTAGCAGGGTATAAAATTAACCCTCAAAAATCAATGGCTTTTCTGTATGCCAACAATGAGAAAAGCGTGGCTGAAATCAGGAAAGCCACTCCATTCGTAATAGCCCCACAAAAAATAAAATACCTAGGAATTAACTTAACCAAAGAAGTGAAGGACCTCTATGATGAAAACTTTAAAAACATGAAAAAGGAAATCAAAACAGAATTTAGAAAGTGGCAAAACCTCCCATGCTCCTGGATTGGAAAGATCAACATCGTGAAAATGGCAATACTTCCAAAGGCTATCTACAAATTCAATGCGATACCTATCAATATTCCAACCTCGTTCATCAAGGAAATGGAAGAGGCAATCCAAAAATACATATGGAACAATAAAAGACCCTGAATAGCAAAAATGATTCTTAACAGAAAGAACAGTGCTGGAGGAATATCAATACCAAATTTCAAACTATTTTTTATTATTTTTGAGACAAGGTCTTGTTATGTAACCCAGGCTTGCCTCAATATTGCAATCCTCTTCCCTCAGCACCCTGAGCACTGGAATTACAGCGGTGCACTTCCATGCTCTGCCCTCTCCTAATTTGTTTTGCTTACCATTGTATCTTATTGGTAGGTGCTCCTAGCCCTGTCAGTGATGCATAGTACACAAAACATAGATACGTGCTGGGCGTTAATGAATGTCCTACTAATGATCTTCTGCTCAGAGAAGCTCTATCTAATGAGAGGCATAAGGAAAAGTGGCACGGAAATCCTGACTCCCCTAACTTGAAGCTTTGGCAAGCCCTAACTCTAAATAAAACGTAAGAGCATGAACAGAGAGGTTCCAGTTTATTTGGTCATATTTTTACATCGTTATTTTGAAATACCTTTGACATGGAGCTGTGTTGTAAAAATAGTACAGAGAATTCTCACAAACCAACTTCCTCTAATGTTTCTTTTGATGCAATGATCAAACCTAAGAAATGAACCCTGTTAAAATAGCATCAGCTAAAAGTGGGCTTTATTTGATTTCTCCCCTTTTTCCTGCATTCATCTCCTTTTCCTTTTCTTTCTTTCTTTTTTTTTTTTTTTTTTTTTGGGTCGGGTCCTGGGGCCTGAACTCTGGGCCTGGGCACTGTCCCTCAGCTCTTCAGCTCAAGGCTAGCTCTCTACCACTTGAGCCACAGTGCCACTTCTGGCTTTTTTCTTTTTGCTTATGTGGTGCTGAGGAATCGAACCCAGGACCTCAGGCATGCAGGGCAAGCGCTCTGCCACTGAGCCACCTTACCAGCCCCTCTTTTTTCTTTTTTGTTGGTTGTGGGACTTGAACTTGGGGCCTGGGTGCTGTCCCTGAGCTCTTTTGCTCAAGGCTAATGCTCTACCACTCTGAGCCACAGTGCCACTTCCCTAACATCCTTCTATCCCAAGATGCAACCTTAGAGACCTCACTACATATTGCATATTTAAAAAACATGATTTATTTCCTTAATTGTTTTGATCTGGAAGTGACACTGGCTTTCCTTTTTCTTTTCTGATCTTGACAGTTTTGAAAAGTATAGGTAAAGTATTTTGTTGCATATTTCTTGGTTTAGGTTTGTCTTATATTTTCTAATGATTTTACTTGGGTAGAATTTGGGGGAAGAAGGTCACAGAGACAATGAACCCTTTCAATGAAAAGCACACAATGTCATTGTCTTATGAGAATGTTGTTTATCTGTCCCTTAGTTATGATGGCATCTGCCAGGTTTTCCCATGGTAACCTTCCATCCTCTTCCTCTCATCCTGTATTGGTTGCATTCATTAGAAGTGTGCTTCTGAGCACAGACACACTCAGAGGGGAAATGTCTTAGGCTTCACCTCTTAGAAGAAATCTCTCAAAGAGCTTGCATATTTTAAACCATCACATTCTGGAGAAGACCGTTTGAAGCTAAGTAAATAATTTTTTCCCCTAAACCTCTTGCCCACTAATTTGAGTATTTATCAGTGGAAATTGCGTACAGCGGTTATTATATTACAACAGTGCTCTAATGATATCACTCCCTCATCTCTTCTACCTTTATTCGTTATTGATTTTTGTTGTGTAGATTTTTGTTTTGTTCATGGCACAATTCTCTTATCATCCTGCAAGGAGTCCTGTGATTAGCTTGAACATGACTTGATGCTTGCTTCTGTAATGAGTTCAGTTAAAGATTTGATCGGAACAACAATTTTTATACAAAAATATTGACTATTTTAAATAAAGATAAAAGGTCCAATAATCCCATTCCCCATCTATGACAACTCTAGTTAGTATTTTCACTTATCTAATCTCTACGTATTTTACTCACTTTAAAGCAATGAAGGAATAACAAATATTTTGCTTCAAATAAAATCCCTTTAGTTACATTTTATAGTTGATTTAGATATGCTATCTAAAAAAGCCCTTCCCTTGATATTTTGTTTTCAAAATTTATTCACCTAAAGTCATTTTTCACATAATCACAAGAGCAATGCCCACAATTTTGTTTCATTGTAAAGCAGAATATGTATTGAACAAACTAACAATGCTATCAGAAATATTCATTTTAGTTAGGATACTATGTATGGCTTAAATGGGCAATGAGCTCAAAGTCCTGAGTTCACATCCCAGTATTGCCAGATAAATTGATAACAATGTTTTTCTCCATCAATGAGCTATTCTACAATAATTTAAATTTTTTTTATTATAAAGGTTATGTACAGAGGGGTTACAACAGTTACATAGTTACAGTGTTACCCCTACCCTCATTTTTTTCACTTCCCCCTGACTCCCCTCCCTCCAAGTTGTAAAGTTCATTTCCAACAGTGTCTAGTGAGTATCACTGTTGAATTGGTTTACTCTTTGTCCCACCATTTCTGTGACTTCCCTTCCCTTCCCCAAATCAGATAAGCTCACACACAAGATACACGGTACAGAAATAAAAAACAGCGACAACAGGGCATATACCCAAGAGAAAAAGAGAAAGAAAAAATAATTGCAAACAGTACATTATAAAAACCTCTTGTTTTCATTTCTTGGAGTTCATTTTGATATGCTTCATTTTATATGGTTATATGTACCTAGCTATTGAGCTATGTGATCCTCTGCTAAGAATATCATAGACATATCTAGTTATTACAAGTGAGGGAAACCATGTAGCT